ACAAGATCTGATAGCTGCTAAGATCTACTGAGGCTCTGTCAGCACAGCCAGTGGCCCTCCCTGGAAAAGGCTGGAGCATCTGAAAAGTAGACAGACATGGAAAGAAAACTGCAGAACTAGTTTGAAATCCTAACAGCAGTGCTATCCAGTGAGTCTCAGGTCAAACCATACAGGCCCAATCTAGAAGGATCTATTTGGTTTAGTTATTCTGTTTTCCTGATTCACAGAAACAGGAAGCATTAAACCACCCCAAAATGGACTTGCAAGACATGGGTCAGAATTAAATAAAAATCTATTTTCTTGGCTAATGTCCACATCATGTCTCCTTGTTTCTGTTTTCTCTTGAGATCAGTGAGAATGAATCTTGATGTGTTGAAAAGCTCATTGTGTTAAAAATATGGCTTTACTGTACATCTCCTAATGCCTTAGTGCTCATGTTCTGGCTCTGGCTACTCCCAGACAGTCCAAATAAATCAGTGGGACTCAACCAGGGAGGGAGAGCCTGAATTTACCTTATCAAGTTCTTCCAGAAAGGCCTCTACTTTATTTTTCATTCTGCAAAGCACGTGAATGCCTGTGCTTTGGCCACATTCAATTGTATATTTTCTCTAGGAGAAACAAAGCTCTTCCAGGTAGTGGTTATTGAGTGTATTTGGACTAGTCACATATATATACAATTAATATTCCTCAGCAGCGGTGAGAAAACAGATGTCAGCTCTACCTAGAATCCACCCAATATTCATATTGCCTCTTTAGCTAAATGTAATTTACACTTGAACAAATATTGTACAGTGTGAGAATATTTTGAACAGTAAAACTGCACATGAAAGGGTAAAAATCTTGTATTCCTTTGTAAGATCATAAATGAAACACATAATACACAATGGTGTGCTGCTGATGTAACTTCTTTGGGTTTTTTTGGTTCAAGTAAACATGGTATTTGTGAATAATGCAGCAGAGGTGAATGCATATACTTCATTGTTTTAAAATATATCATTATGTATATAGTGCTGATTAAAAAAAGAATAGGCATTTCCACTAAAACTATCCAGTGTTTTTGCAGTGTGGTTGTAAAAACACAAGTCTGTGACATGAATATTTTCTCCAAATATACTTTATCCTCAGGGATAGGAAAGAAACTGGAAATAAACTCTCTCATGGTGTTGTTAATAAGTTTAACAGTGGGTTTATTGCATGAAAAATTATCTGAAGACAATACAAACAAATTTTGTTTTCTGAAAATAGTTCATATCCTTATACTCAAATTCTGAGACAATGTGTAAGAGCTCCAAAGTATGGTGTGGTAATAAAATGAAAGAAGTGCTCGAAGAGTTGGAAAATATTTTTTTTTTCTCTGTAAAAGAAAGTATTCTCTTGAGAATTGAAGCATGAGTAAAGAAAGCTATTTTCAAAAGAGTAATAGTCATATTACTGATACTGAAGAAAATGTCCTTCTGCCAGCCATAGCATTATCTCAGTGGGTCTTTGCACTAGAAAAATGTCATTAGCTACAACACCCAGGCACCACAAGAACAAGACACGCCATGTTTTGGAGGACAGGAATTTAATACTCATGATGTCCTTCCTTGCACCAAGGAAATGGCTGTGTTTGAACTTGATGATATTTTCAACATTGGAAAATGACAGAGGTCATGATGAGCTGTAATTCTTGCAAGAAGTAAGTGGTGATATTTGGCACTGAATTTTCACCAGAAAAGATAAAAAAGCACATACAGAATGTGGAAAAAAATTTGAAATGAATAAAATTAGCCCAAAATTTTGAGAGTGTGAGATTAAAAGCATCTGAGGAAAACACCTGGGGTGTGTAGCTAAAGTAGTACCAAGGTGGCAGTGAACTTAGCTCAACCCTTCACAGTTATCAGGGAGGTGCTGCTCTGCCCTGGATGGAACTGTTGCTTGTAGCACCTTAGTTTTACTCAGTGAATTTGGTATTAATCTCAGCTGCAAGGTAGCCCACTTTTCATTCTGTATATTCTAATATTCCAAGGGAGGAACTTCCTGAGTTTGTGAATCTGAAATGCTGGGAGTACGTCTGAACGATCAAATGAGACTGAATTGTCTCCCTCCAGTGAATAATCCCTTTCCAGAGAGCCACAGTGGCTGCAAGCCTTGCTCACTTTAGATGCAAGCTCAGGCATGTTTACATATTTCCTCAGTCTTTTAAAATTGGCTTTATTTTCTCTTGCAAAAAATGCATTAGAATCATTGTACCTTAATTTAAATAAGGCTCATGAGGCTGTTAGCTATAGAAAAAAAATTGGTTTTTTCTTAATGAAGCTATGAAAATGTAACATCTCACTTTCTATTGAAGTTAAATATAGAAATTAGAAAATCTGATCAATTGTTGTGGCTATGATTTTTAAGCACTTATTTAGCTTACTAGTAATCCATCTTGAACTCCATGTTCTAGTGTCTCATTTAATAATTTCATTTGTATGGAAGTCCAATTTACAAATAATCTAATTAAAAAATTAAGTTGCTCTAGTCATTCAGAGCAATAAACCCAGGAAAGAGCGAAGTGCAGAGAAATAGAAGTTATGTGGGCAATAAAAAAATATCCTTTACATAGCTACAGATAAATGCTTAATCTTAGTTTTACAAAAACAAAATCATTCTTCAAACTGATGTATTTCCAAACATGTCAGATTTCAGAATATAACATAGTCAAGTATTACTGAAATGTGACTTGACTCAAATTGAGATAATTACAGACTGTTTCAACAATTTCTCACTTGTTTTGGCAACTGGACTCAGCTGAATGACTGCAAGGTAAAGAACAAATTCAAAATAAGGTTTTTTTAAGGAACGTGCTTGTCAAAACTTTAGCAAAATAAACAGAAACATAAGAAAGTTTGAAAACAGAAGAGTGACACAAAAACCACCAGCATGCTGTGCTGAACTTTTGGATTATTTTCCATATCAAAGAAATTAATGAGATTAACATGTTGTCTAGGATATTTTCTACTTTGTGTTAAATTCCTACCTAAATTAAGGGTCATCTTAGACAGCCCAGTCATGCACTTGGAGGGATGACTGTGGGAACAGGATTTAGGTGGATATAAGTTTGTGTGGAAGGGGGTTTTGCTAAACTGATTATCTTGTTCATCAGACCAGTACTGGCCTGCAAGGACTGCAAGAGAGTGTCCCACTGTAAAACCCCTGAGCAGAGAGCCCAGCTGCAGGCTGCTGACACACAATCCTGCTTCTCACACATCTGGGCAGCCCCAACTCTCACAGGATTCAGCTCAAATTTTTTTCCCAATTTTCAGTTTCCAAGTTATAAATCCTTTCCAAGGTTATGCATTTTTATTTCAGTATCCAAATTCTAAAGCTGCTGTATTCACCACCTTTGTTTGCTGCAGAGCAAAGTCTGCTGCTCAGCTCTGTCAGCTCTGGGCTTGATTTGTCTCCGGAATTACCAGGAAGGTGGTTGCTATGCTGCACTAATGAAAGGAGCAACCATATTTCCTTGAAGGCAGTATAAGCAAGCATAAATAAACAAATTCTTTGTAGTGTTAACAGTGTAAATGAGATATTATTGCAACAGAGAAAGTAAGATATTAACCCGTTTTAGAGGCTTGATAGCTATCAACCTTTCAAATGCAAAGCTTAGCTTGAGATGGATAACTTTTTTGGCAAACATTTATATTATGAGTTTTATAGAATTTTCTCCTCCATCTTGATGTGTCACACATTTTTGTTGTGTTTGTTCTTGTTACCATATTTTTGGGTGGATGTGGGCCAGGCTGCCCAGAGAGGCTGTGGCTGCCCCATCCCTGGAGCGCTCAAGGCCAGGTTGGATGGGGCTTTAAGAAGCTGGTCTAGGGAAAAGTGGCCCTGCCCATGGCAGGAGGGTTGGAATGAGATAATCTTTAAGGCCCCTTCCAACCCAGACCATTGTATGGTTCTATGATTTTTCCAGTGATGGTGTGTCTCCACAATTTTGCTGGTTACTGTTACATCAATGACAGGTGCATAGATGAAGGTCCATGGCCAAAGCCAGGAATATAAGTTTTAATTTTAAAAAATGTTGTTATGTTGCACTAAACCTTGTCATCTCTGGTTCACTGAATTTAGCTCTAAGTGTGATTTTTTCTGAGAAGTAACCATAAAAACTGTATCACACATTGTCGTGTTTGTATTTCAGTGACTTTGCATCAGTTTTATTCAGGATGGTGGAATTTTTTTAAAACCACCAGATATACCAATGAAGATTTGAAGGTCATGCTGTGTTGAAACTCATGTAACACCAATAAAAATGGCATTTCTGAGAAATGAAATCTCATTCTCCCTACCAGCAAAGCACTTCAGTGTCTAGAGCAGGCTGTGCTGTCAGATTTTCCTGAAGTGCAAGTAAATCCATTCCACTTCCAACCTAAAATGCAATCTCTCAAAACAAACTTATGCTAAAATTATGAAATACTCTACAATATTAGCATTATGTATTGCATTATGGTGGAAAACTTTGATGATCATACTACCTCATCATGGGACAATCTTCCATCACTGTAACAAAGTACGGGAATTATCCTGAAGAGTGACTACTGGAAAAATACTAACCATATGTTATTACATATCTGTAGGTAGAGGCTGTTACTTACTTGAATTATTCAGTGTCCTTTTAGTACATCTCAATATTTCCGGAAAATGCTGAGCAGTTTTTGCTAGGGGCTGAAAAATGCTAACTTTTGTCTTCTTACTTGGTTAGGACAGAGATATATTTCTTTTTGGAGATACTGGGCACTGAAGACATTGATCTAGGATGAATTGAGGAACAAAATGAATGCAGTATATTTTAAAGCAAACTTCTTCTTTGTTAGCTATTAAGTATATTTGGTGTTTTAAGAGGAAAAATGAAATACCACATTGTAAAAAGATACTAGTTGGACACACTGTAATTTCTTTTCTTATCTGATTTCTGATTCTGACTTAGCACACTACAAACTATTTTCCTTTTCTTCTCTTCCTTTATTTTGCAGTTAACTTTGACCACTTTCAAATATTGCGGGCTATTGGGAAAGGGAGTTTTGGAAAGGTAAGAATCAACTTATTTTTAGCAGCTTAATGTCTAATAGGGAATACCTTTGTGTTTTTCTGGCTTGATTATGGTGAAAGAATATAGGTTTTGTAACCTTTTCCTTAAGGATATCTGAGCACCAGTATGAACTGTCTCTTCATTAATTTATTACTATTATAATCTATTAACTAAAATTAATTGAGCAATAATTATTATAATAATTAATTATCCCAAATGGAGATTAGCAGAACTTAGAAATCTGTCCTAGAAAAAAAAAATAAACAAAAAGGTAGGAGCAGACTACTTCTTTAGACAGTCCACCAAAGTGATCTTGTTCTTAAATCTCTGAGCTTATTTGTGTCTTTAAAATAATTGCAGTATTTTAAAGGCATTTTACATAGAATAAATCCTTTTGGGACTGTGTAAACTGACATACAATATAATTATGATCACTGAGTAAATGTTTGTTCAATTCAACAGGATTTTTCTGAAACAGAGAAGATTAATGGTTTGTTTACACTTGAGCAGACAACATTTCTTTCCTGCAAATAGTGATTATAACAAGGTTTAAAATCTACAATATAAAACCACAAGCCACATATAACACAAAGACACAAAGTCAGAGAAAATACTATTTAAAAATATTAGAAACCACTTCTCACAGGACTACATCTGAAGGTGAAATATAAGTGATACTTGATCAGGTGACTGATCAACAGGTGTCTGGCTCTTGATTTCAATGATTCCTGAGTATATGGCAGCTCAGTGCTGGTAGGCACTTCTGTAGCCATGCATTAAGAACACACAAAGGATTTTGCTGGTTCTTGGCCTCCATGCAGAACAATGACTTTAATTTTAGAGAGGCCAGAAATACTTCTTGCAGAACAGCATGGTCCTTCACGGCACAGTCCTTATTCAATTCAGTAGTTTCCAGCAGAAAACTCTTTGAGGTCAATAAGAGTATATCCTATTTGGGAAAAAAGTACTTAAAAACCCCTTAAAATCAGGGCAGCAGAAATCTGTGGTTGTTTATTATCACAATACAGAGGTGGAATACCATGTAAAACTAAATTAAGGTCCAAGAGTGCAACTTAGGTACATGAAAAAAGTTAGACATATCCAAATCATGTTGACACTCACAGAGGAATAGCTACTTAGATCAGAGTTCAGCATTTTTGGCTTCAGATTCCCTCTTTCTGAATTTACTTGGCAAATTTTTAATATACAAACAAAACTTGTTTCATCAGTATTTCTAACCTGCTCCCTTCCAATATACTAGGAATTATTAGTAATTGGAATATGCTAAACATAACTAATGTAAAGGTCTTCCACAGACAAATAAACAAACAATTTCCTGGATTTATGAAGACCAAAGCACAAGCAAAGAGCTGCCTTCACTTTCAGGGTAGTGCCCTGCACCTTGCTTGGGCACCACTGATCCCTGCCCTGTCTGTGCCCTTGGCAAAGCAAGGTCACTGAAGGCAGAAAGGCTCCTTTCAGGGTAGCGCCCTGCACCTTGCTTGGGCACCACTGATCCCTGCCCTGTCTGTGCCTCTGTGGGTGTGCAGCAGACAACACACCAGGTCTGTGCCAGTGTCTGTCTGCCCAGACAACACCCCAGGTGTTATCCCTGGGGCATTATCTGGGCACCTGCGTGTGCCCAGCAGTGTGGGAACTGCTCCATGAGCGGCCACACACATTTTGCCACAGCTTGCCCCATCGCTTGGCTTGACCAAAAGAGCAGCCAGCTTACACAGAAGATGGTGCTAGCAGGCTCACACCTCACCTCCTGTATCTGTCCCCAAACACCTAACAGGGTGCAACCTGAGCTCTCAAAGGACACCTTTGAAGTGAGCCTGGCTTTTTCAGAAAAAAAAGAGCATGCTTGGGGTTACTCTACCTACCCTCCTCAAAACTGCTGTGGTGTATCTTTCCCTGAAAAATATGCAACAGTTTATAGGAGATGGCACCTGCTCTTAAGGACTCCCTAAGAGCTGGGTACAGAGGCAGCCGCTGAAAGCAGGTGGCCACTTGTCAGAAAAGACAAGAACTTGAGATACAAAGAATTTGGTACCAAACGGCCTAGGAGTTCCTGCGACAGCAAATGTTGTGACTGTGAACTGAAAATGCCAGAGGCAAGGCAGGGAGCTGATTCCTGAAGCCAGCTGGGGGGACAGGTGCCAGGTGCCAACCCCAGTGGAGGAGCTGAGGCGCTGAGCATCACCTTGAGCAGCACAGGGGCTCTGCCACGCCAGATACCTCCTGCAGCAATACCCTGTACAGGCCTACGGTTGCTGTGGCAACCAGAGTAATTTAAGAAATACTGAGAGAGAGAGACAGAGATATTGTACCAAGAGCGATAAAATAAAAAAAATAGAGCAGGTCTTAAAACATCCTATTGCTCTCAGAAAACAGAAAAGGCCACAGAGGAGCCATAAAGGAAGCAGGCAGTTTAAGAAAGCGTGGTACTGAACATGGTGTTACGCTCTGCAAGATGCTAGAGCACAGCAGACCCCGAGCAGTAAACACCCTGCAATAGAGATTAACAGTCTTGCATCCTTTTTTGACATTTTCTGCTGCCAGGTACTTCCAGAAGGACAATAATAGGAAAAGTTGCCAGCAATGAGGTTTGTAAATGAACAATAAAGGCAAGACTGACTCACAGAGACAGACATTTGAAATGGTGACAGATTTACCATGTTTTGCTTTTGGCTATGTTATAATAGGTCATTTTAAAATGGGTTTCTTTCTTTCCCTTGCCCATGGAAGGAAAAACAAGGTGATTTGTCAGAAGCCTGTACTCATCTGGGAAAAAGAAACCTGTTACACCATGGTCTTTCCTGTTGCATTTGACAACTGCAAAATAAGGATTTAAGTTTAGAGGGAACTCATACTTTAAACATTTTCTCTGAGGATCATGCAACTCTATTTTCACCAATACAGATTCCCCAAAGTGGGTTCAAGAACCACACTTATATAAACCTGTAAAAAATTAGATATTTTTATAGAAATATAGAAACATTCACCAGTTTCCTGAGTGCCGTGGAGAAGAGTGAACCAAAATCAACCAAGCCTTCATAAAGTAGGCTTGTTTTGTTTTCCTGTATGGTGTGAAAGGGTGAGGGCTCCTTTGCAAGGGCGGAGACAGTAGAAACAGGACTTCTGTTAGAAGTGCTGTCTCCTGCTTCATCTGGCTATTTTTTTCAATATTGTTATGTGTAAAGCTATCACTCTTTTCAAACAAAATATTGCAAAAAATTATATATTTGAAGATCATCCAATAAGTACAAAACCAACGAGAATTGAAATGCAAGAATTCTCATTGTCCTTTACTGCAATAATAACCACATAATTGCAGGGTTACTGCTGCAAAATAATTTGTATTCAGGTGTAACAACTAGTTCTCAGAGATATTATAGTACCAATTTTCTCTGACTTCTCTGTTCGTGGGAGTAGTTACATTAAACAATCTAACATCCTTAAATTGAATTCAAATTATAATTTCAAGGTACAAACTCTCTCCTGTTTGTCTAAGATGCTGAGACACGAGACCTAGTTCTGATTCATTTGGTTGAATAAAACAGTGACTTCCTGTGATGAAGTAAAATTGAAATTACAGTCGTGTAAACCATATGGGAGCCCAGAATCATGTCTGCACTGACTGAGGGTAAATAGTATGCAAAATACTTCAGAAAAAATATGCTTCTATCCCAAAAGCAACATAACACACAACTGCAGAATATTAATATTTTTTGACAGTATTATGACCTGGTTTTTAGCTTGAGTTAATATGAAAGGATACTAAGCAGATGCTTTGGCTGCTCCAGATGTCATGCTTTGCTCAGGGGAATCTGGGAATGAATCTCCCTATTTAAAGGAAATCCCCTGGCAGCCTAAAGACATCCATTCTCCAGCTTCTTTGAGTAAATCTTGCCAGCTCTGCTTGTAGGCTAAGACTATGAGAACGTGTTTTTCAGAGCACTTGGGTAGGACAGACCAGGGAGCAGTATTTGGGTAGGACAGACAAGGGAGCAGTATTTCAGGCAGATGCTCAGTAGCAGGTTCATCAATTCCCATCTGGAGTGTATCTGATTTCTGTCGTGTAGCCCTCTGTGCTGGGTGAGAGCTTCTGCCCATGCAGTGCCACAGCCCCTCTGCTGGGCTGGGACTCCTCAGGGCTGCCCCATCCCATCTGCTGCTGTGAGATGCCAAATACCGTACAGGAGCACGGGGGAGTGAGAGCCCCAGCTTCCAGCTCTCCATCTGACACTGGCCTCATGCAGAGGTTTTCTGGCTCTGGGTTTGCCTCTCTCCTCTTTTATCACCTGTTGTGAAACCACATCTTGTGGCAGTCTGAGAAGTCTAAGTACTCCTGTGCTAAATTTAGACCAAAATTGACACTAAGTGCACCTTGTTCTTTCCACACCATGCACATAGCAGCTGTAAGTCTCTTCTAGTGGGAAATAGGAAAAATCTGTGTTTTGCAGTAGGTCTGATGTTTCAGCCATCACCATCTTTTGCTCTGGGAAGAACTTTGTTGAAGCTACCCATGGGTGCTCTCTGCCAACACAGCATTATGAAGCTTCCTTCAGCAATCTTCTCCATTTTTTTTGCATGTGAAATCAGAAGAAATCCAACATGGTAGTTTAGAAGTGGGCCTCAGCACATGTTGCTCTTAAAAAATGAAGTTTAGCTCTGCAGCCATAATCTATTGGCTTCCTCCCACAAATTCTGAGAGAAAGTGGCCTCAAGTCACTCTCTGGTCAAATTTCTTCTAACCTGACAGGTTTTAAGGCAGCTCACTGTTACCTTCTACCAGAAATAACAAAAGACACCACCCTGTGATAACAACTAAGTAAAAAAAAAAAAAAAAAGCCTTTAGAAAGGGAATATTTTCACAAGAGATTTTTAAAAATAGCACTATACCATTCCAGAGAAAATTAATGGGGTTCATAATGCCTGCCTTTAAACATGTACAACACAGATGCCTATATCCAAAATGGCAATCTACAGACTCTTTAGGGGACATTAGAGGGAAACTATTCCTGGTACAGAGATAGTCCCCTGTACTTCTTTAAATCCATATCTTATGGAGATGGCTGCTGTCCTTCTCTACGGACTATGGAGCTGGATAGTTGTTGAGTTCAGAACACATATTTGCTCTGAATCATCACACTGTCTGGCCTTTGGTAAATGATATTCACAGAAAAATGGAGGGAGTGTGAGTGTGACAGGCTTCCATACTGATACATGTAAATAAGGCAATTCTGCACAGACTTTCATCATAATGAGTCATCACAGAATTTTTTTGTTGAGGTTCCAGAGCACCTGTTTATCCCTATTTTAAAATTGCTCCTTTGCAATAAAACCCCCCCCAGCTTAAACATTTCTCATTAAAACTGCATATGTGAGAAGGGCTCAAGGGCTTTTCCTTTCTTTCTTGCTTTAGTGGAAAGTTTCAATCCACTGATATCCTGCCCAGGAGAAGAGCTGACAGCCAGCAGGTAGAAGTGCCAGGGAAGATCTCCAGTACAATCCAGTGCTGTCATAGCAATGTCAGGCATTTTTCACAATAACATCAACATGGCTGCAGGTTGTGGTTCCTGATTTTTAGTAGGAAGTAGCTTCATTATATTCATTAAAATCCTATTGATTTTGTAACCATGTTAAAGGATTTGCGTAGGTACACATTGCTAGAAAATGTTTACTGTCATTCTGCTTCGAAGCTGTGTGTTAGGCAAGCTTCTACCAACAACAGAAGGTCTGTTTCAGCTGTGCTGAGCACCCTTGTCTTTACTGCCAGGTAAGAGAGCTGAGTGCCTTCTGGAGTCCCAGCAGCTTTGCAAAACTGGTTTACATTACATATTTCGGTGCTGCATGTGATCTTGATTTGCCACATTGGTCAAACCTGTAATTCTCAGCTGAGTAAAATCCCATTCTCTCAGCAGTCTCTCTAGTCAACCCTTCAATAGGGAGGTTTTTAATGTAATGGACTGGGAGGCTTCTGAAAACACCTAACTCTTGGCCAAGTTGTACGTGAAAATCATGATTCAAATTAAAGTACATGGCTGAATTTCTGGACTTAGGTTCTAAGCTAAAATCTCCAAATTTTGCACTTTATAATTTGACTCGTTAAAGTGGATTCTCCACATATTCTATGACATGATGTCAGGATTTGCCCCTGAAAATTCTGCTTATGCTTTTGAAGGACCTGTGGGAGCTTGAACAATTCATTTTCATCCCTACTTTTCCCACTCAGTTTCAGCTCAATCCCACTTGCTACTTTTTCTTCCTGCAAAAGGCCAAACACAATTCCCCATTGTTCCACAGCCAGGGTTCTTTCCATACAAATGTGGACCTTTAGTTATCTTAAGAGCATCAACAATTTTCAGATCTTTCATAACAGTCCAAGGTGAAAAATGAAACAAAACTTCAGTACTCACCATTGTGCAACACTGATGGGCTCAAAACAGAATGTTACCATCCCTGTTTTCCTTAATAGCAGAACATCTCCTGATATTGGGAAAGGTAATTAGAAACACTGCTTAATCATGCCTTATCATTATAGGTTAAAGGTGCTCTATTAACTCCTCTATTTGGAGTAGATTTGTGCTCAAGGACACACTTTATGAAAATAGAGTTTCAGAGAAGTAACCATGGGTTGACTTTACTGGCCCTGTTCCTCCCAGATTCAGCTGTGGGAAGTTACTCCTGATTGTTCCTAAATATTGGGTGCATAAGTTCCTTAAAATCAGACACAAAGGAATTCTTTTTGGCTGTCACTGGTTTGTAATCTGATCTCTTAACATGAATTCATGAGTGTATAGTATAATTTTTTGTGTGTAAAATATGGGAGCATGTATGTGTACATGTATGCGTATGTATTTAAATACACAAATAAGAGAGCAATGCCCACACCAGGTGAATCCAGAATATCTTTAAACATAGACACTGCAGGCCTGAGATACCTTAACCAGATATTTCCAGTACATTTAGAACTGTTGCCAAAAATTGTACTTAACTGATGCTTGGTTGTGGTGCTTGTGCCACTCTCCAGCTGCATTCTCAAAGTAAAATATCATGACAAAAGGAAATTCAGAATTCCTGTGGAAGTTCTCTTGACTAAGATTTTCCTCATGCATTTACATTATTTGGCTTTTGTCAAAAGAAAAAAGAAAAAAAAAAGATAAAGTAAAAGCAAAAGCATGGATGTTTACTGCCAGAGACTAAATCATTGTAATGGTCTCCTGTGAATACAGAAATATTATGATGAATACCTGTATGAAAATTCTTTTCCTTTCAACAGTAATTAAGGGAGCATAATTCTGATATTTAGATGAAATATTGAGCCTTGGGAACACAGGCAAGGTTTATGATGCAGTAATCAAGATGTGAGTATTGACTTCTGGGAATGAGGACAATGACTGAGCATTTTCCTAGGCAGGAGGCAGTAATTTCTCTGAATAATTAAATAGTCTGTGATTTCAGCCATTGCAGCATATTACTCTCAGCTTTACCATGTAAGTTCTGAAAGTTATGATATTTTTCTGGGTCCCCATTTTATCTTATACAGGGTTGGGTTTTTGTAAATTTTTAATTACAGTCTATTACAAAGAATCCTGCAGAGCTGTGAAGTGAATGTGTTACTCAGTTGCAATATCCAGATCTGAATTATTGAAATATCATCAAAGACTCCTTTTTTCCAAAGTCACAATTGAATTCACTTTCTCAAGGTGTCAAAATTTTTCTTTTACTTTGCTGCCAATTAGGTGTGCATTGTACAGAAGAGAGATACCAAGAAAATGTATGCCATGAAGTATATGAACAAACAGAAATGCATTGAGAGAGATGAAGTTCGCAATGTTTTCCGGGAGCTGCAGATAATGCAAGGCCTGGAACATCCCTTCCTAGTCAATCTGTGGTAAGAAAATCATTAAAATGCTTTCATGGAGCTCTCATTTTCTCCTTGTTGCTGAATCAGTTCAGAATATGGAAGGCTGGAAAGCTGAAAAGAAAAAAAAGATTTTTGGTGACTTCCTTTGTTAAAGGTATTAGGTTTCACAGGGAGTTTTATTTTTCATTAATATTTTTAAGGTGGTTTTTTTTAATTTGAATGTTATATTCAGACATCATATTCATCTGTTCATTTCTGCTTTGGTTTCTCTCCAAATTGTTACAACACTGTGTTGAAATGTGTTGTCCTGTCCCATTTGTTTTTGACAATAGCTGGACTCAACCTCTCTAATAAAGCTGTGGAATATCAAATCCAACCATTTTTATTTTTTTTTTAAAGTTGATTCAGAGAAAATTCAAAACTCAATTACTTTCTAAAAATTACTGTCACAGGACAGCAAAAAAGTACCTTTTTGTCACCTGGAATTTTTCTTATCTTCTCCATGCTAGACCCTGAATCTTTTGGTCACACATGATTGTGAGAAAATGCTGGTCAAGCAATAACTAGCTTCAACTACACCAGCAGATTAAAATATTTGCTGGCTCTTATGTAGTGTGGTAATGCTTGCTGGCTTTTGTAGTGATTGTAGTAATGGGATGCAGAGTTTTCTTCCTTATCTAATGACCTGTGTCATACAGAAAATGAAAAGATGGAGGGGACATAAACCATTATAATATGAAAATTATTCATCCTGTGAATAGCTTGATTGGCTGCAGATGGTTACAATGCACACTGATCTTGTGTTTTGTGAGTTTTAGCTGTCTTACTTGAGGTCACTGCCCAACCTACAGTGTTCTGCCCATCCCTTAGCTCACTCCTGGTGCAAGGTTAGCACCTTTCACAAATTAAATCTAAGTTGTGTTCTGTCTTGAGTGAACACAGCTTTAGTATAATTGCACTCTAATATAAAGCATTTGAACCCAAAATTGATTCCAAATTGGGTCCAAAAGGACCTAATTATATACATATATATGTGCTTTTCACTTGATATGAATGATCTGAGCTAATCTATTACCCTGTTGAAGGCTTTAAAAAAATACATCATTGTGACTGCAATACAAAACTTTCCCAGTATATTTTCCAAGGTTCCAGCTAGCTGTAGTCTTGGTATTTCTCTATTAAAGATGTGGTATATATCTTAGGAGCCTGTGGAGTTCTCTGTTAGGTGTTTGTCTACCTTTTTTGAAATTCCACAAACTTTTGTTCTTTTTCAGGAGGTGTGGAAGTTTCCACTGTGTAACTAGACACTGCACAGAAACAGTCATAGGTTAATGTGATCTGAGAGATAAACATAGCAGTGCTGAAAGACTGAAGATCAAATATTTATTGTGAAACAAAAAGAATGCTAGATTCCCATTACTGAGTTATACTCAGATGATAAATAGTCTTTCTAATTTTCTTTTTCTATACCAAAGATTAAACTTGAAATAAGCAATACCTTAAATTGCACTGGGCATTATGATGCCTTTCATCCTTCCTACACTTCTAAGATACCATCACAGGATATCAAGACTCAAATGTTATATTATATGTGTGTATGAGAAATGCAGAAAATGAAAGAGAATTACAGTACTCTAGAGTTACAAAATATTTCAGGCAAACAGGACACTATTCAAGGTGCTTCAGTGCACTAACAATGTTTTATATTTGCTGTCTCTAGCAATGGTTATATTTGACCAATCTGTCTACAAGTACTGGTCCTGACTGGTGACAGGACTAGAGGAAAAGCCATGAAGTTATGTTAGAGGAGGTTTAGCTGGATATCAGGGAAAGGTTCTTCACCCAGAGGGTGGTTGGGCACTGGAGCAGCTCCCCAGGGAAGGGGTCACAGCAGCAGCCTGACAGAGCTCAGGAAGTGTTTGGACAATGCTCCAGGCACATGGTGTGACCCTTGGGGTGTCCTGTGCAGGACCAGGAGCTGCACTCGATGATCCTGGTGGGTCCCTTCCAACTCAGGGTGTTCAGCAGTTCTGTGGTTTTGTATGAGGCTCTACTGACATTTAGGGACTCAAAATAATACAATTGGAATTGTAGAAATTTTTCAAAAAATACTTTCATTGACCCTTATTATTTTCACCTGAAGTGCTCACCTCAAACACTGCTCTGACTGCAGAGTGAGCTACTGAACTGCTGGAGAACCTGTATTTCACCCTGGGACAGCAAAGGGAATTCTTGAGCCTGAACCTTCCCAAAATTAACCTAGTCTACCCTGAATAACTCTTTCCTTGTATCAGGCTTAAAATATGTTTCTATAAAAAAATTAGCCTTGAACAATCCTAAATTAATTTAAATTAACTTGTGGTATATTTCTGGAGTGTCTACACTTGCAGGCTGCAGTAGAATTTTCCAGACCTCTGACTTCTCTGTCTCAAATTTCAGCTGAATTTCAAGATATTCTACTTGAAATTATCTTCAAATAATGAATCTTATCTTCAAATAACGAATTATTGTTATCTTCAAATAATGAATTATCTTCAAATAATTATCTTCAATATATTATCTTCAAATAATGAACTTTGTTATTGAACTGCAACAAAGGTGAAGAACAAAAGATCATAAATGATCCATGAATAATGGTCACATCTGTTCAAGCCATATGAAGCTTTTAAACATATTATGTTTCATTTATTTAATATTTGAAACTACATTTTTATTTCTACCATGGGAAAAGGAACACTGCAAGTATGAATAGAATAGTCATTAAATATGTTGTTCCCAGAAATAATTTCTTAAAATAACATTTTCATTGACTGTTGGTGAACTGGAACTCTGTTTAATGTATTTCTACTTGCAGTTTAGATGCAATAATAATTTGCATCAAATACATTTACACTGTAGTTATAACTTATATTGGATGATTGGCATTAATCCATGAGTTTTGCTCCTATGAGTCAATTCCTGACACACTAATGGAAGGAAACAGTTGAATCTGCATTTCTTCTGTAGCAATTGCAGCTAGATTAGTTTCATTTTTCAGAATTGGATTTTGCTGTTTTGTTGATTGAACTGTAAATGCACAAAGGAACTGTAACAGGAACTACTAAGCTTGCATTTTTTCAGAAACAGGAATATTAAGCTAACAGGGAGCAGTAATGTCATGGTGTAAGGGGAATAAGACCACTTCAGCTTGTTTAAATACCAATGTTCTTTTGGCCTAGTCTCTCCTTCCCGGCTCTGTCACACTCTCTTAGGGCTCATATCAGTTTTTGGAAATCCTGTCTAAGGTAAGATTTTGGTGACTAAAATCCTGAAATTAAAATATTTTTATTTTTCATAAAGCACCATTTTCTGTAAGAACAATTTCAATGTCCTATTTTTTTCATTGTAATGAATTGAAATTAAATCCTACGTCTTTCAATTGAAAAAGTCAAATCCTAAATCAATATTGAAAAGTATGTTTGGAGGAAATTCCATCATGATAATCTTTTCATGAGTTTGTGGTAATTTCCATGGTGTGAACAGCTGATGTTCAAAAGTTTATTATCTGGATTTCAAAATAATATTAAAATAGTAATAATTCTCCTAACAACTCCTTGAACATACTAATCTGTCTTTGAGAAATTACATGACCAAAAATAAAAGCTGGCAGTTTAAGAAACAAACATGAATACTGGAAAGTCCTTTAGTTTTTCATGATAACTGAAGAAAGTAATGAGATGTGTGTATACAATCCTTCATCAGTTAAATTCTTGAGGAGAGAACAAGAAGAAGGAAGAAAGTAAATGTTCTGTGGTGGGTGAATCTATCAGCAACCACAGCCTACACAAGAATACAGAGAAGCTCATACAAAACAAGGGTAGCATCTCAACTCTGAAAGATCTTTATTAAGCCTTCTGAGGCTCATGCATCTTCTCTGAGCTTTATTAAATTTAACTTCACAATCTCAACTTATAAATCACATTATTTGAAGTATGAACTGTCTTTCATAACATCTGACACAGAAGGAATCATTCTTCTGTAAATGCTCATAAAAGCTTGGAGGATAACAGTGTTTTTCAGGAAGGGTTTGGGGTTGATTTATAGCCTTCATTTTAGAAATGAAATTGAGTAAATGCTTAAAGCCACTTTTATCACCTTTAGAGGCATTTCTGATAATAGAAATTTCTTCTTAAAATAAAATGCAGTCCTGTTTTTTATCACACCATTTTTTTTTTTTTTTTGTCATGGGCATTTCAAGCACAGATGAATGGGCTGTAGAAATGTCAGCTGCCAACTTGGTCCCACCTTGAGTCTGTTCCTCCCTGATATCCAGCATTTTATCTGTGTTCATCCTTCCCCAGATATCTGAGTGTCCCCTGGGCAAGAAGAGTGGTGTTTCTTTCATGTTTTAAATACATTTCTTACAACATGCATTAGGACTGAGCCAAGAGCCAGTTTGCTTGCCCCGTACCAGTGCAGGTAGATTTGGTATTATGTGCTTTGTCCTCAATCATGAAGAAATGTTTGAAGCATCCACTGGCTGCTCTGAAAACAACATGTCTTACCACAAAAGACAGATTTTCTTTTTCCCTAAAAAAAAAAAAAAAAAAAAAAAAAACCACAAAAAAAAAACCCCACCAAAAACCCATGTATCAAAGTGGTTTCTGTGCTGATGAGGAACTGAAAAAAAATTAAAAAAAAATTGGACCATTTCTTAAAAGTTTTGAAACATTGAAGTAATCTTATTTTTAATAGCCTTGCAAAAATTTTTTAAATTGCCAGAACATTTTGTAAAGCAACAGTGGGAGAAGGATAACTGTTTTCTTTTTTCAGCTTATAGGTAATTTTCCTAGTATAGACAAAATAGAAGGATTTATTTAACAAGCCACGAAGTGTTAGCTGCATTCTCTGAGTGGCTATATACTGTGATGTATTTTTCTTTTCACTTACCAGTCTATGGAAACTGCATGTATTCCATGACAGACCCACAGAAGTACATTACTGTTGCCAGCTACAGTGAGACTAAGTTTCAAATCCAGTGAAAACTG